GTAGATGTTAAAGAGGAGAGGGCCAAGGACAGAGCCCTGGGGGATGCCAGATGTGACAGTGCGGGGGCTGGAGGAGAAACTGTTAGAGGCAACGAAGTGGAGACGGTGAGAGAGATAGGAATCGAACCAGGCAAGGGCAGGTCTGCGAAGATTGAGTAAAGCGGAGAGGCAGTGTATGAGAATGGAGTGGTCGACAGTGTCGAAGGAAGCAGAGAGGTCGAGGAGGACAAGGAGGCAGAGGGAGCCCTAATCACAGATGTTCAGAATGTCATTAATAATAATAATAATAATAATCCTTGCATTTGATAGAGCGCTTTTCAAGTCGGGAGGACGTCCCAAAGCGCTTCGCAGAACACACTGTAAAGTGAATTGACTGTATATTTGTGGGCGAACGCGGCAGCCAATTGCGCACAGCAATGTCCCACAAACAGTCGTAAATTGAAAATGACCAATTTATCATTGTTTTGTTTTTTTGTAGGGATTATTATTAGGAGTGTGGAGTAAGGAAACTTGCCCAAGGTTTCGTCCTGCCTAAAATTGAACTCAGGTCTCTCGCTTGCAAAGCGAGTGCTCTAACCACTGAGCTACAGGACTCCACATTAATGACTTTGACCAGAGCTGTTTCCATGCTGTGGACAGAGCGGAAGCCAGATTTTAGGGGTTCAAAGAGGGAATGGCGAGAAAGGAGCAGAGCTGGGACACGACAACTCGTTCCAGGACCTTGAAGAGGAATGGGAGATTAGAGATGGGGCAGTAGCTGGAGAGGAGGGATGGATCCAGGGAAGGGGGGGATGGATGGGGGGGTGAGTCATGAGAGAGAGGTGATGTGGGGGTGGCTGTGGACGGGGGTGAGGTGGTTGAACGTATCTCCTCAATTTTAGATTCGAGGAACTCCTCACAGTTGGAGTTTGAGGAGAGGATGGGCGAGGTATGGGAAGGTGGATGGAGGAGACGGCTAGTGGTGGAAAAGAGAAGCCGGGGGTTGTCCTTTGCCTCCAAGATAAGCTTGGAGTAGAAGGAGGATTTGGAGGAGGCAAGAGTGCAACAGTAGGTCTTGGTGTGGTGAAGCCAAATCTGCCGATGGACCGTTAGTTTGGATTTGGTCCAGGCGCGTTCAGCAGCTCGCACTTGTGCTTTGCGAGACCGGAGATGGTTGGTGTACCGGGGGATTTATGGGAGTATGAGGCAGTTCGAGAGGTGAGGGGGTCAAGGGAGTCCAGAATGGGGGAGAGGAAGTTGTGGAGAAAGGAGAGTGAGGAGGGGAGATCGGTCAGTAAAGGCCAGAGGTGTAGGAGTTCAGATGACTCCAGGGCAGTGGCGAGGGAGAGGGAGGAAATTTGTTTCCATGGACAAACCTCTGTTTACCTGGTAGTAAGCAGGAACCTGGTTGTTGGTCGATCGCAAATTGCTTTTCTGAGGGTAATAATCGCTTCCAAAAAATAAATAAAAATAATAATAATAATTTGGTTCCTTAATTCATGACTGTTTGTGGGACACTGCTCTACGCAATTGGCTGCCACAATTCCCTTTACAGTATATTCCGTGAAGCGCTTAGAGATGCCTCAAAGACATGATAAGACATGATCTCAAATGCTAGGATTATTATTATTGTATTATATTAACTAGATGATTAGAGATTAAATTAGATAGATATAACAAGGCAAAATACCAAGTTTTTGATATTCCTAAAGCTGCACAAACCTTGAAGTGCTCCTTTTTGTTGTTTTCCCAAACACGATATTGTATTCCACAAACAATTTGTTTAGAGGATGAAAATGATTAAACAAGAAAGTATTTCATTTTCTAACCCAAAGTATTCTATTTTAGCTTTGAGTGTGGCCCTTATCAGTCACTGAACTTCTCCAAGGCCACACTGACAATATTTCGCCCACAAAATCCATAGTCAATCCACTTTACAATATATTCTGTGAAGCACTTTGAGATGTCTTGACGATGTGATAATATAATAATAATCCTTGCTTTTGATACAGTGCCTTTTCATGTCTTCCAGACGTCTCAAAGTGCTTCACATAATACTACTGTAAGCATGACAGAATATACTGTAAAGTGAATTGACTATGTTTTGTGGGCAAAACGCAGCATCCAATTGCAGAGCAGTGTCCCACAAACAGTTGTGGATAAAGTGACCAAATTATTATTATTTATTTATTATTATTTATTTTTTTGAAGAGATTATTGCTCTTGGAAAAGCAATGCACCAATCGACTAACAACTAGGTTCCTACTTACTGCAAGGTAAACAGAAGCGTGTGGAGTAAGGAAACATACCCAACTTTTCGTCCTGCCTAACGTGCTATATCAAATACAACGATTATTATTATCATAACTGACACAAAGGAATGTATGGTAATGCAAACTTCTAAAGTATAAATAATATTTATCCACCTTTTAGTTCTGAACTAATTTGGAGTTCATTGGAAACCACTGCGATGATTATCAATGTTCTAAATGGTAGCTCTGAAAATAGTGCGTTTAAAAGGTGTAAACATGACAACCCTTCAGTCAGTATAGTTTGTTGAACAGGGATGAGGTTTAAATAACCATGCCAGAAGAGCAACTGCACACAGTTTATTTACATACAATGAATCTCACCCCCCTTCAAATGCTACTGTAAGCATGACACCTGATACCATCGGACACACCTTAATTCATGGGGCAGAAAGAAAAGCAATACACAGACAGAGGTGCTAACAACAGAAGGATGGGTGCCACTACATATAGGTTGCATTGATTAGTTTTGCCTGGCCTCCATTTTGTGCTGCCATGCGACAAGCCGTAAAATCATGTTGTCACATGAGTCTACCACAAAATGATATTACCCATTAGGTACATGAATGCTCACAGATAGAGGTTAGGCGACTTTGGCATTCTTTGGTCTCCAATGCCTTTTACTACAGCCCTGTTTCTAGCATGCAAGGTGCTTGAAAGCATTTGGTAGGTAATATTTATAAACAGCAAATGCAATAATATCATCCCTAGATTTTACATTGGTTCTACTCCAGTTGCCTGGAGTGGTGAACGTGTTGTAATACCACAGCTGAAACTATTCTAAGACGGTTTAATACATATAGTTACATAGAGTGAGATGGCACGCAACAGGACATTCGGCCCAACTAGTCTGTGTCAGTGTTCCCCTCATCTATACCCCTCTAGAAAATTGAAGCAGCCAATTTATTTCACTCGCCTCAGTTGCTTTCCCAAAGTGCTGCTGATGGTGCGGTTACTGTTGTCTATGACAAATTTGTAAATTAAAGCCAGCGTTAGTCTCACACTTATTGTTGAGGTACATGCAAGCTGCATGTATCTCATGACAATCAACACTTATTGTGTCTTGCTACATTTGATTGAGGCAGAATTGTAGCAAAGAGAGGAATCATCTTAATATACCACACTAAATCTTAGCTCCACGCAGTCTGCATTGTTTTTATGCTTCAATCTCTCCCAGCACCTCTTCTCTGAGCTAGTCTGCTTTCAGAGGATGAGCTCAGTTTGGTTTTGTGAAAAAGTGGTGGTGACTGTGACAGAGCATTGTTTCACTAATGATCCATTTAATACTTGCTACTTATCAGTTGGCCCGGTTAAAGGGACCAGACCTGAGGGTATCTATTTTTGCTGAGATTCCATTTAAAATTGCCCATTTAGTACTTAGAATGGGCGAACAAAGAAGTGCCTGTTAGGAAAGCAACAATATTTGAATATTTGCAAATCCCTTCAAAAACAAGCCCTAGGATTCAATCGGAGAATGGTGGACTACTTGAGATATTGCAAATTGGATGGGAAGCAAAAAATAAACAACCCTTTCATTTAATTTAGTACCTTATCACAGATGGAAGCACTTCAAAGTGCTTTGTATGATGAATTTCTTTAGAGAGTGACTGGTTGGCAGGTAAATAATACGTGCCAGCAAAGTCCCACAACAACAATAAGATGAATTTGGATGTAGAAAGAATATTGATCAAGTCACTGGAAAAACTTCCTGTTCTTGTTTGAAATAATGCAGTGGAATATTTTGGTAGCGGTCTCGTCTGAGTCAGAAAGTTGTGGGTTCAAGCCCAACGTCAAGATTTTGAATTCGCCGTTCAATTGAGTACCATCTGAATAACCAGACAGGGCTTCAGTTTAACATCTCATTTAATGCCAACATATCCACCAACAACACTCACTCACCAGAGTGCCTGTCTCAGTGATGCCCCCAAAGAAGCCCTGGATATGGGGCTAGAATTTACAACCTTCTCACCCTTGAAAGTAAGAATAAAAGTAAGCAAATGGGTCGAGGGTGATTTTGTTTGTGAGGAGGCGTGGGAAAGAAATAGTGGATGTTGCCCTAAAAATAAACTTCAAAGAAAAGTGAGTGACGATGGGTCTCTTACAGCCTACACCCCCCCATCCGCACTCCCCGACCCTGAGCTCGGGTCCTCCCGTTGTGAAGGGAGCCATACAAATGCCATTTTGTTGTTGTTGTTGTTGTTGTTGTGGCTCAGCATCAGGAGGGAGGGAGGGAGGAGAGACTGGACAAAGGAATCCCTCCTTCCTGATTGGCCTGGGGTCCCACCTGGCCCCGCCCTCTCCTCCTCTCTGATTGACGGGAGACAGAGAAAGGTGGCGGTGGGGCGTGATCACGTCACTCGCTTGACGCGACGTCACTCGCTTGACGACGGCGTAAAGGGGGAGGGGGAGGGAGGAGGAGGAGGAGGTCCGCGCCGCCGTAGTGGGGGGGGGGTTTGTGAATCACCGGCGACGCCATGTTGTGGTGATTATTATAATGAGGGAGGCGGGGAGGGGAGGGGAGGGAAGTTGTTGTTGACGTCGTCGCCGTCGCCGTCTCCTGGCAGCGGTGAACCGCCCAACCCCTCCTTCCCCTGCGCTTCTCTCTGTTATTTCCCCCCCTCCCCTCCCCCCCACCACCTCACCAACCGTCGCCGCCCTCTCTCTCTCCCCCTCCCTCCCTCCCTCCCTCCCAGCCCGGGTGGCGCACTTCTCAGACAGTCAGTCAGACACAGAGCCCGGGTAGAGGAGCAGAGCAGAGCGGCCACGTTTGCTTTGGTGGCTTTAATATATTTTTAAAATTTGTTGTTTTTTTTTTAAACCCCCACACACCACATCCACACCCACGAAACGACATTAATTGTTACGAAAACAAACGGGAGCAGCTCGTTTTTTTTTTAAAAAAAAAAGCAAAACAAAAAAAAAGGAAGCAAAAGACCAAAGGGAACTTTTTTTTTAAAAAAAAATTATTATCGTTTAATAATAATTATTCGTTAGCTCCGGAGCCCCCGCCACACCATGGCCGACGACTGGAATAGCTCCGACGACTGGAAAACTCCCGCGATCTCCTCCTCGGCGCTCATGGACAACGACGGCGATGACTACGAGGAGCGAGGAAGAGGCGTGGGGACGACGGCGGGTGAGACCGGCTCCTCGACCCCACCGCCCCTCAAACCCGGGGCCGGCGACGCTCCCAAGCAGCAGCAGCAGCAGCAAGCCACAGGCCCCCGCCAGGGACCGCTTCGAGGAGCCCAAGAGCAGCGGTGAGATAGCCGGCGACGGCTGGATGAGGGAACGCGAGGCCCTGCCCTCTGCGACTGAGGTGAAGACCCCGACTCCTCCGTTCCTGGCCGCCACCAAGATCGCGCCTCACCCCGACTCCACTTCGGCTCCTCAGTCCACCGGCCCGGTGGCCGAGACCCGCGGCAAAGGCCGGGAGTCAGCCGGTAAGAGACCGGGGGCGTGGTGGGGGCCCGAGAGGGGGAGACCCGGGGGAGTCCGGCCCCCTTTGACTTGAAACCGCGGCTTCATTGCATCGCCCGGTCGGTCGGTGCTGAACACTGGCCCCACTGCGGCTGGTGGGCTCGTGGTTCTCTTTCCTCTTTTCTTCCCCCCCAACAGTTTATTCCTCCCTCCCCCATTATTCCCACCCTCTTATTCCCTGAGGCAGTGAATGGTCTATTGCCCTTTGATTCCCTGAGGGCGGAGGTGGTCCATTGTTTCCTCAATTCCGCCTTCATCGGAGGGAGGGGGTGGGGGACACCGCCGCCTTGTTCCCTGAGGATGTGGTAGTCCCATTTTCCCCTCATTCTCTCTCTGTGTGTGTGTGTGGGGGGTCTATTCCTCACCCCTCTCACTCCCTGAGTGGGATATGTTTCCCCACTCGCCCCCTCAGTGGGATTATCGTCCAAAAGCCCCTCATTCCCCGCGGGGTAGCGATGTGCAATGACTTTCTTTCAGTGAAAGGTGGCACTGCAACGCGCCCCTCATTTCTTGAAGATGGGGCCTCGTTCCCGGGGAGGGATGTGTGGAGGGTGAGAGAGACGGGTCTGTATCCGGTTAGATCCGAATTGAGTCGCAAGCTGAGGTTTAAGCGGGTCAGGTGGTTGGACACGATGTTCCTGACTTTGCCAGATGGATTGTGTGTGGGTTTTTTTTAAAATTCGGGGTATTTATTGCGCAGAAAAGAGATGCGCCCAGTGAGGGGTCCATGCATGGCTTTGCAGTGATATGGGACTGGCAGCCCAGCCCAGCCCGCATGGCTTCCTTCCTGTCTTTGAGCGCGTCTTGTTGCAGGACGGAAGGGGATGGGATGGGATGGGGGTGGGTGGGGGGTGGTTCTGGTTCGACAGTGTGTGGTCGGCCAAACGCGACCCGCACCAATCGCTGTGTGGTCGAGGCGTGACTTCTGCGTGAGCGTCTGCTTTTGGCCGAGTTGCTCGTGTGCTGCGTGACAGTGCGAAAGGGACTTGACTCATCAAGTCTTTAATCAGAAGACTTGGATCTCATTGTACGGGCTCTTTGCAAAGCCTCGTTGCTGCAAGCACTCACATTAAATTAAAAGCGCGATTTCCAATCACGTTTTCAAGTCCGATCAACCGAGGGTTGATTTCGTCCGGTTTCCACCGTTGAGGTAATATTCAATTACCCCGGAGATATTTAGTTTTGCAGTAATAAAGGCTTTGCTGGGTAGCGTAGCGACTCCAGCCGACTGTCAAGTGAAATTACTGGCAGCCGCTGAATAAATGCAAGTCAGAGAAACTTAAGATTTGGAGCAAAATTGATGTCGAGTGGAACTAACGTTGCTGCCTTCACTAACATCTTATTTCACGTGATTTATGATAATATGAGAACCTAACCCCAACATATTAACTTTTCAAATGTGAATTGATTTCAGCATTTCAAGTGTAACATTTATACCATTGAATTTAAATACGTTTAAAAACGTCTCCCTAAAGGGAGTTTATCATATAGGTAAAATACAGGTCAGTGGAGCGGATTTTTTTTTGGGTGTGGTCTTTCTCGTTACTAACATTGCTTTGTCTCTTTTGCAGTACCAGCCCAGTAAGAATGCTTGGCCAACTAATTGCAAAATGAGTTTTCCAGTTTTTACTTGAATCATTGTAATGTCGGTTGAAGAATAGAAGAGGCTTTCTGTGAAAAAACCTAAAAGTCATTAATCGATTAATTTGTTGTACCATTTTGCCAAGAAAAAGCTCTTACATGAAATTGCATTGCGACTTATATTTGAAATTGTCAATTCTATGTTATCTATGGATGCAAACCTCTTTAAAAATGACTAGTGTTTTCCAGAAGTTTCTGCAGTCTCAAACCCTTTGCATTCATATTTTATTATCAAGCACTAAGACATACATATAGATCTATATCTAGTCAGTGCACCGCATCCAGTCAGAATTGGTCATTTATAGAACACAAGTTTACACCTAGAATCTTGTTTGTTATAAACGCATTTGTGGCTAAACCTAAGGATGTAGAGCAGACTGACAGTGAATGATGGCTCGATAGTCTGCATGAATAGAGAACAAATACAGAGGAACAATTTTTCTATAATTCCCTTTGCAATCAATTAAATTCAAATGTAATTAATGGCTTGGATCAATACTAATATTTAAAAAAGTTGAAGATTTAACATGACAAGTAATGACTTAAATAGATAACATGGTGCAAACTATTCTGTCAATTTCCCCCCTCCAATGTCTCTTCCCAATCAGTTAAAAGTAAATATCGGTTACTGTAATGTGTACATTTTTTCCACCCCCTCCAAAATGTTAAACTTCCCAAAGGTGCCAACTTGTAATGGACGGGGGAGGAGTATAGATACGAAAGTACTGTCCAGTGGCTGTTTTGTGTGAACCTAGACAGTGTTGGCAGGTTGTTCCCCAATTGGAGAAGGTGAGGATTTTCTTGTACACATACACTTCCATAATGTGAATAAAACATAGCACAATCTCTCTTTTCCCTGCTCCCCGTCTCCGATGGGTGGCCAATTTTACAAGCTAGATCATCTAAAAACAAAAACTAGAAATTGAACCTGGACTTTTCTAGAGCTGAGTGGCTCAGATTTAAATTTGCAATGACTACCAACTGAATCATTGGAATAGCACAGTGGAATATCTTGTCAAAAGGATTATTTTTATTTAGAATGGATTGTTTTGGGGATGGAAACATTTTACACATTACATCTTCAATTATATGCAGTAACAGGTATTCAGCTTCAACTTATCATTCACCATCATTTTGTGGGACATGATGTAAAACAATCTAATTTGTCACTGCGAGGAAGACTTTTTCCCTGGTGCATTAATATTGCAGGTTGCAGTTATATTTAGTATGTCTTGCCTGTTCATGTCCTTTTTGTAAAGAACTCCTTTGCATAACTGGCACCTGCCTGTTCCCGTCTCCAGTTCGTGTCAGCATTTTTCTATGTAAACTGGAAGTTTGACTATTTCATTTTTAATTTTGGGGGAGGGAGGATGCCTTTCTTTAAGACACAAAATTTAGTTCCATAAGTTGACAATGATATAATTTTTTTTGGGTGGGGTGTGGGGGGTGGTCAGCCGGTTGACTGACGCATATGGAAACCCATCATCATGCTTAAGAGTATCCGAACCAAACTGAGAATTCCATGCATCCCACCTACACTTGGTAATTCCAGAGCTATTTGTTAGAATGGAATGTGCACTCTCACCCCAGAGGGATGCATTCTGCTTACTAATTCCAGAAAGTATTAGGCGCAGATTGGGAAGAGCGAAGGCTTGGGGCCCCAGAGTGTGTGTTGGGAGTACTGCTGGAGTCTAACCAGCTAAAATTGCATAGCTTGCCATTGATAGTACTGTTTTGCAAGCTTTCCCGCTGCTTGTCCAGCTAGGACCACCCTACTCGTTAGGGCTTTGTCTAGTGGGGTTAACAGGAGCCGAGTGGGAGGATCCTCCCTGTCCCCAGACCTTCTGCATATTCAAGTCCTGCCGATGAGCCTGGCTGTGCTGTCATCAGCAGTGCCCTGGAGTCTTGTGGACCTACCTGGCTCAGGAACCAGACTACTGAGACCGCTCAGAGGGCTGGCTTGATTCTGACATTCTGTTGCCAGAAATGTCACCTTGGAGCCACTTCATCTCCAAGGAGACCTCGCGTACCCCACCTGCCCCTGGAGGATAAGATGAATGCAGATATTTCTAGCATAATAAAACCATAATGGTCATTGCTGATTTTGGAATGTAAGTAATACATAACTCATCATACAAATGAGAATCCGAAAAGACCTATTCGTATTTTTAATGAGTATCTTTCCTACAAGTCCCACCAGAAAGGACTCAACTTTGTCTATAAGACACTTTATATGTGGGAGACTGATTTAATGGGATCCTTAAAAGATCTATTGTTCAAACTAAAATGTTCAGTGCATTTCATTTGTAGTGTTCTCCAAATTGTAATCTTGTTATCCAGGTAATAGGCATGTAATGGCTGGCAACTACTTAACAGTTGTAGCGACAATCCTAAATAAGGATGATGTTAAACATCGCACTGTCTACTACTCTTAACATTCCTAGGACCTCAAGTCTATAGAACATCTTTGCTTCCTCTTCCTTAGATCAAGCTTGGTGTCCCCTAGCCATAAGTACTTAACTTCCCTTTTTTCTTGTTTTTAACCTTCGTGGTCTCCTGTGCAGTGGATTTGGTCCTTCATGAAAGTACCTCATTTAAATAAACTGGTTAGCGATAAAGTTGTTAGAGAGAAACGTGTGGTGAGGCAACTCAAAAAAACATTGAATACTTTAACTGCCATGTAATAAATAGTCCATTGAAAATTGTAGCCCTTCAAACTTAATATCAAATGTGAATCACATTTGATATTGAATGATGTATGCATTTGCACTGCAATGTCTCAACAGTTTGAATTGCAGTGAGTTATGTTTGCTCATAAAATGTTCAGAAGGTTTTTGGCACTTGGATTAGAATCTGTACCATTTATGAGTACAGATCAAAGTTTGGTGCTTAAATGAGCCTGAGGGTAATGTTTTTGCAAGGTTCCTTATGAACTGGGATGTACCCATTTATGGTTGCCTTCAGAAATGACCTCATTAACTAATCTTTACATTTTGGTCATGCAAATTTGCTAGAATAAATCTGTTGGCACGGAATGCTGCAGACCTTTGCTCTATAATAAGAATATTTTTTTCCACTTATGATCGATCATTAACCAGATCCACATTAGTAATTTACCAGAAAAGCGGATTGTTCACATACTGTATGTCTATTTTATGCTGTCACTGAGGTTACTTGTTTTCTACAAATGCAATAATGATGCTTACCAGATGAGTTTGCTGGTGAATGATGCCCAATAAATTCTTTAAATGCAATGGGAGGGAATCCTGGTGAAGCAATACAATTATTTATGGGTCAGGTAAGACTTATTGAACTAAAAATATGCGACAATATCTTGACGAAAGTAGCCATATTTTTCTCTATTCGTTGTCTAGTCTTATCTCTTTTTGAAGTGAACCTTTTCTGCCTGCCAATAGTTAACTTGTATAGTTTACGCATTTGAGAAAATGTGTGCTTTCATCCATTGTTAAATTTTATTGTTTGTGAATGCTGGTAGTGACATGTATTCCGTTTTTCCTGCTCTACTTGCAGGTTATGCTTTCCTAGAGCAGAAGTTCAATACAAAAGGTAACCAAACTCTGAGGTATCTGTTGGAATGGGCAAGAAATCATTAGTGGATTTCTTAGATTTAATTGTTTTAAACAAATGATGTATTAAAAACAATATCCATCGAAATCAGAAGAAAATTCTAATCATACCAATTAAAATGTGATTCTTGATCATTTGCCTTTAATTTTACTAATCACTTAATATTTGGGGGTGGGTGGGGGGGAAATGTGTGTGTTCCTGTATGGCATTTTGGATAATCTTATACCATTTTGCAACACTATCAGTGAATGTACAGGCTTATTTATGGCCCATCCCCCTCTTTCAAAATTTATAGTTAGCTGATGAACATAGATTCTGTTTCTTAAAGAAAAAGCAGGCAGTCACAGCTGGTTAGTACATAGGCGTGAAAGGCGCTTTATGAATGAAATATTGTTGTTGTTGTCCTGATATAGTACATAGGTAGTTTGGGACATATGTGCATGCGACCGCCAGGAAGGTAAAAGGTGAACTAGATGGACTTTGGTCTTTTCTCGTCTAGCATTTATGTTCTTATGTTCGTGTCCCTTTGTTTAATGATTTATTTTTAAATTTAAAAAAAAATTGTGTACAGTTCACACGTTAATTTATAAAACTGGTGAAAATACCGTCTGAAGAATATTTTAAGAACTGGCAAAGGGTCTTAGGCGTGACAAGTTCCCTTTTTTTTAAGCGTTCAACCAACGGATCGGTCATCTCACTATATCCCTCAGTCTTGTGCATTCTGTAACCCCACTGAACCTACTTACTATAGGTATATCTGCTTTATTGAACTTCCCAATGTATTTCGCAATCTTGGTGTGTTTTTTTAAAAAAAGGTTATGGCTGACTTCCCTTCTTACTCCTCACTTCCTAATTTTTAACAGGTCCTCTGGTGTTTGAATTGTTTGCTATAGTTAACATTTTTGATTGATCGCTTTTGTTTTAGCTCTTTGCATGTTTATGCATGAAATGTAGTAATGAAATGCTGATATTGTACAATTTTGTTCCATTTTTCCAGACAAAACAAAATTATTGAAAGCTTCTTTTAAAACAAAATGTATATTCTTCCCGTATAGCTTAATGGATGAAGGCACCACATGATTTGTATTAAACCTCATCGATGGGATGGTCTCACTTTCAAATTCTGTTCTGCTCTGAGTCATCTTGAATGGGTCAGCATTTGAGACACTGCTATTGACACCTGCACTGTGTGTAAGGATTTTCGCTCATCAATGGTTTCCAGAGTTAATGATAATAATCCTTGCATTTGATATAGCACCTTATCACATTTTTGAGAGTCTCAAAGCGTTTCACAGAATATACTGTGAAGTGAATTGCCTGTATATTTTGTGGGAGAAATGCAGCAGCCAATTGCGCACAGCAGTGTCCCACAAACAGTTGTGGATTGATGTGACCAATTTATTATTTGTTTTAAAAGGAATTATTACGCCCAGAAAAGCAATCCGCCAATCGACTAACAACCGGGTTCCTACTTACTGCTAGGTAAACAGGCGCGTGGAGTAAGGAAACTTGCCCGACATTTCGCCCTGCCGGGAATTGAACTTGGGTCTCTCGCTTGCGAGGTGGAGGCTCTAACCCTGAGCTACAGGACTCCAGTTCTTGGGTAATGACCATTGACCGAGTTACCAGAGGGCGCACAAGTATAAAGGATTTTTTTTAACGAAAGCCTTCAGGGTGAGAATATTGGAGAACAAATAAAAAGAAATGTGGAGGACATAAAATGCAATGTGTAGCTCAAGTAACATGTAGTAACATTCAAGTAGGATCATTTGTCTATCTAGTCTATCCAGCAAATTTCTCTGAAACTGCTTATTAAAATCCTGAATCCTTTTAATTTTGCAGGGTTTTGACTTAAGTTCCTTTTTGAAATGCTTCATGGTTCCTTGTAACAACAGTGCTGGTACTTCGACAAGTCTCTCATCCTCTCACTAGAAATACTCAGCCTGTCCTAAGGTTTCACCAATTATAAACGTGATTGTTGGCTTACTTATAGACTCGTATCATAATCCTCCTTGAAAGAATATCCTGGCAGTTTGAACCACATTGTGTGTTGGTAGATAACTGCTTTTGAGGTTTTGTTCTTGTATTGGAGCTTAAAACTTCAGCTACTGAATTTCCTTTCACAAATGTTCCTCTCTAAATTCTAGTAATGTTGACCTTTATGCATAAGGTATTGTTTTGTGAGACATGAACATCTATGCCTTTTTTCCAACAGCTTCTGAAAGTTTCATTAAATGCTCAATTCAAAAACAATTTAGAATGTTATATTTTACTTTGCAAGTGTTTGCATTTATCAAACCGCAAGTAATAATTTTAATGTTTCACAGACGTAAACTAAGGCTTGTGACCACTTATCTTATAATCCCGCTCTCATTCACCTTGATTATTTCTGAAATGATGACTTATTTCTTTGCCTAATAGAATTATGCTCATGAGGTATGTTGAGTTGACTAATTTTGATTTCTGTTTAGATGACAAGCACTCAATATTTGCTATTTCTTTTTTAAGTCATGATTTATCTCTAATGATCGACTGCTTTAAAAACAGTGTTGGTTTCCAGACAGACTTCAAACTTACTCAATTTATGGTCATTAGCACTTGGCAGAAGTGATCTCTGAAAGGTCTTAGCTATCTGTCAATAGTGTTGCTTATTTCTAGTTTTTTTTTAAGTTTTCTGATTCAACAGCAAACCATTGAGAAAAAAATATTCTCAGGCATATTCGCTTTAAATTTTAAGATTTTAAGAATTTTAAGTTATTCAATAGTAGATGGTTTCCTGCAGTTGTATACCTTGTTATGATTATTGGTGAACGTTATTTTTCTGTATCTTAGCTTTTATTTTAATACAGACATTCAATTGTCTTTTCTTAAGCGTTTTGTGTAAATTTGTGCATTAGCACTGTTTTGAAGTGTTCCACAAGGTCTCAGGAAAATTTACTCTCTTAATGAAAATACTTTCAGTCAGTGCTTTTTTTGTCTTGCATTGTTTTGGAGTAGTGTAAAGGATGATCACGGCTGCTGTGATACCAGTCATTCCAGGAAACAGGTTCAAATTCGTGCTTTAACTATAACTACATTTTTTAAAAAGTACTTTTGCACTGACATTTTAACATCACTCGCAAGTGAGAAACCTCTAAAACCTATTTTAAAAGAACTGAATTCACACCTTGAAATTTGGATGAAAGATAGACTGTATGCATTGCAGGCATTATTTTGGAGGTTGATGTTTTTGTGGATTTCTTCAGATTAAGCCTATTCTCACGTGATGTTTGTCTTATGCTGTGGTATTCAAAATAAAATTAAAATTGGGGGATTTAGCAGCACTCCAAAAGCTAATCGTGCAGAGGTCAGGCTGCAAAGATCACTTTGAAGATGTGGATTTGGTCAGATATCAACTGCTGTAGCTTCAGTTAAGTCAAGTGTGTTTCAGCCCCACTTGGAAATAATTAAAAGTTGTTAGGTGCTGTAATAAATCTTCTTGGTCTATTTTTCAGTTCAGTATTATGCACTTATCCACTGGAGAAGTTATAAGTAATTTTTTTATGTTGAGTGCAAAATTGGAACTGATGTAGAACAAGTACATTCAAAGTTGTGTTCCTTGTCAAAAACCGTCAGAAATCCAAAAGTAATTTTGTTGAAGATTCAGTTTGAGTATCTTACCTCATTAAATAATGCTTGCCAGAAGCAAATCTGCCTCCTGAGTATTGCTAAACTATTAGGAAATTCAGTCGATTTTAATAGCAGTGCAGGCAAGCTACTGAACGCAGAAAACGAAGTTGTAAGTCAGTGTGAGGAATGGGAATTGTCTTGACATGTAGTTCTGGAGAAGGTTCCAAATGGCTCTGGAAGGAACCATTGCATTAGGCAGTCCTCTAGAGGGCACTATGAGCAGTGTAACAAACGTGTTTGGGCATTTTATTTGATAATTTGAGATAATTTTTCATGGAAAATGAAAAACTGTTACACTTGGAAATAATTAAAAGTTATTTTAACTTTTTAACATGGCCAAAACTTTCTGGACAAAAATTGCCACAAATGGGGATGATGATTGATTATGCCACAACCTTAAATATTTCTTAAAATGTAAGTATGATATCCTTTTATTCATATCAACTAACGGCTTTATAAGGCTCAAACTTTTTGCACCTGAGTCAGTGCTTCCAATTCAAAAGTCTGAGGAATTATCTATGTGTAATTTCTCTTCCAAATTAGGTCCAATCACCATACCAGTTTGGGGATTTAATTGGTCAATGTCATTTACAATTTGTAACATAGGATATTTGAGAAAGATATAATTTGCAACACATGGTACATGGGGCATGCATTAGAAAAATGTGTAGTATAGGAATTATCACTGAAAGGTATGAATAACGACTAGCTTTGCTACACTAGATTCTTTATTATTGTTCCTTAGCCCTACTCATCAGAATAATTATTTACTTCTTACTGTATTCCTATAAGCCTCTGATAGGTGTGCCATGTAAGGGATTCAAGTTTATGGACCTTATTAGTTAAGGGTATGGGTACATTCACACTACAGGGCTGCTCTGTTTAACGTAGGTTTGGTAGGTAAGGTGGCTTTGAAATATCATCTGTGGGACCTGAATGGCACAATTTAGTACCTTATTTCTTGCATTGTATTAGATTGTCCAGGACATAGCAGCCTACATCTCACCTGCATTAGTCTCTTTGCCTTTCAAATCCTCGCCTGACTGTCCCATTGGATCAATTTTAAGATCCTCGTCTGTACTTTTAAATGCTTCCATGATCTTTCCCACCCTCCTTCTGTGACCTGCAACCCTATACCGCTCATAACTCCCTTCATTCTGCCAACTCTAGTATGCTTCATGTTCTCTGCCTACTCTACCCCATAATCGGTGGTGAGCATTCAGCCACTTTGCCTATGCCCTCAGGAGCTGTCTTCTGAAATCTTTGTCTTGCCCTCTTCCTTTCAAAACCTGTCTAAAGGTCCATCTGGTTGACTACACCTTTGGTCATCCTACCCCAGCTCTTAGGTTTACATTGGGACCAAGTAAAATGTACGTTTTGGGTTTTCTTGTTTTGGTTTGTGAATGTAGCTGTACAAGTGCATTTTGCTTCCAGGTTACCCTTGTATTTAAGTCCATTTCACTGTTTAACATTGTCTTAAGTTCTATTATTGGCCACTTAGGCAGCTGTTGTGCGCAGGTGTTACTTGAGCCTCAAACTTTATGGATGGTCTTCATTGTAAAATGATGTTCAGTTTTTGATAGGAATATTTCAAAATCGTTCTGCACCATATGGTGAATACTAGTGTATCTTATAGTGTAAACAATTTCGAACAAGGACCAAATTAATCTGACTAGTTTTAGGCAACATTTGATGTTCGTAGTGTGGGCCTTCTTCACTTTATTTTTCCTGAAACCCCCCCACACAGTGGACACGGGATATGAGGTGTAGAGTGGTTTACACTGGCTAAACATTTTCATTATTTCTAGCAGTTACAGGGGAAGACAGGGGATTGGATTGAAAGTAGTTGGGTGAATAGATGATCTACACCATCTTAGACTGGGTGAAGCTAATGACCTTGTGTGCTGTAATTTTCATTAGCTGAAAAACAAAATATGTGGTGTTCTGGCAGTAGAACTATGTGTATTTGATAGCTGAGCATAAATCAGTCTTCCTTGATCATTTGCCATATTTGGTCATTACTTATTTTTTTAAAAAAGTTTACAATGCTTGACTCGTTAGGTCTGGATTTCAAGGCAACTTCATGTTTGGGGCCATCGATGATCGTTCAGGTACTAATTTCCCCTGCTGAGGTCCTGTCATTTGTTTTTCAGACGAATCCTTTTTTTCTCCTCCTTCCGTTGCACCTGAATGTGTGATGCAGTCCTCTGCAGGCAAGTCCCTTCAGCTTTCCTTTTGCTCACATCTGCATCTTGTAACTCTTATCAATTTCCTATAAATTTTACTTTTGGTTTACGCTAAGGTGATCACTTTTTAATGGTTATTTACTTGCTAATTAAACCTAAATATATTACCACTGTTTTGCTTTCCTGCTAACTGGTATTTCAGAGCCTTTTGCATTAAGCTCAGATTTGCTTTAGTGCAAAGAATAACTTGCAAGCTTTGGTTTAAGCAACCTATTTGCTTTAACATTTAATGCAACTTGCCTTGTAGAATAATTAAATGCAAAAGTATCCTCTTGTACTCCTGGAAATTATTTTTTCTTTAACCTAGCTTCCCTTTTGTTTGCCACTTACTGTTTCACATGATGCCTTGCTGTTCTTCCTAGCACATTCTTATTTAATTTCTATGCATTTTATCACTTCTTCCTCTTCCGCCATCAGTTCTTGCATTCATTCCTCATCTTTCATCCCTGTTTTCATGTCTTTGAACTTTCTCCTGCTTGTTCATCCCCATATTTGATCACATCCTGCAGTTTGTCTCATCACTACCACATTTTCTTCCTGTCTAGAATTTTTTTTAATATCCTGCCAATTTGAGGCAATGTTATTATTCAAGGACCACTCTTCCTTACTTGGATTGTTTTTTGCTGTGGATGTATAATTTTGCAACAAACGTTTATGCAACTGAAAGTAAAAGGAAAAAATAAACTCATGTCAAATATTTTGCTCAGTCAATAATAATTCAATAATACCCCAAGATAGACTTATAGATCTTTTGAATTTCGGGTTCTGTCCTCAACTAATCTTTGTCTATAGGTATGTATGCCTTATTTGGGGAGGAATTAATTTTGAAATCAGAGTGAACCTAGTTAGTGGGAGTTGTTTCTTTGTTCAGTCTTCAAACTTGAATCTGGATAAGCATTTGGGTGGGACAATGGCTATGGAAAATATTTGCACGTTGGTCTGTTCTCTAACTTTTAGGGGAAAGGGAGAAAATGGAAGCTGGGGAAGAGAGGTTTTAATTTCTAAAAAATTGTAAGACCTGGTTATAGCTTGCTTTGTTTGGATTTATATTAATAACTGAAGGAATTATTCTGAAAATCAGTTCCTGCAGTAAAATCCTTTTATAAATTGCTTTTAGTATCATTTGGGTGTGGACTCCATTATGTACAGTATAGTACAGCCTGAAAATCTGAAAGGTGTGCAGAAAGCCAGTCAGTTCTATTGGGTCAAATGGCAATGTGGTGATTAAAGATGTGTCCTGCTTCTTGGGTTTCAAAATGCATTGTTGTGTGATGCGCTCTGATGTAGCCAGCCAACTTTCTGCATGCATATTAGTAACTTGTCTGGTAATTTAATTAGTAATGTCATAATGCAGAAGCTCAGGCCTAGATTACAGTCTGTTATAAGGCTGGTTAGGATTTTGTGGACCCCAATAACTTATAACGGAGCTGTCAGTATATTTGATTGTTTAAACATATGTGTGAACTTGGAATTTGAATATTTTGGGAAGCATTTAGATATGTTTTTAAATTGGATTAGGCATTGATTCTTTTCAGGTGATTAATTTTATTAACTTTCAGAGATTTCAGGAGCTGGGCGTATTTGTATTAGATGGCCTGCTTGTTTTTAAAATGAGAAGATCATTCCATTTGTCTTTCTGCTATTTCCCCATATGTAATAATAATAATCCTTGCATTGGATATAGCGCTTTACCACGTCACTGAGACCTCTCAAAGCGCTTCACAGAATATACTGTAAAGTGAAGTGGGTGAGACGCGGCAGCTAATTGTGTAATAAATCCCTTGCTGGCCAGAATTTTTTTTCCATTTTATCTGGAAGATTGTTGGCCATGGCACTGAGAAAAACTCCCTTCTCTTTTCAAATAGAGCCATGGGATCTTTAATGTCCACTTAGCACAGTGCACCACCAGCACTGCTCTGGAGTGGCAGCCTAAACCAGGGATCTGCAACCAGTCGATCAGTACTAGGTGACGTCTTGCGCATAGTCAAAAACGAGGGGCAGGAGCGATATTTACTGTAGTTGAAACATTAAAGTTTATTTTTGTATTTTGAGATCCATGAAATACCTTCATTTGTTTTCAGTTTTACTTAATACTGCTGTAGTTCTATTGCTCCATCCTTTTATCTTTTTGATGCACGAGAGAGCCACTTAATGACAAACAACCTATTGGAGACCACTGGCCTAGACCTAAATTGGATTTGTTTGATTTTATGTAATCTTAAATTGTTTACATTTATTGCCCTTAGTCTTTGATATCTGCACTCGTGATTAATTGACTTATTGTGTGTTTATATAAGTTTTATATATTTTGGATGTTTTATTTGTTGCCGGAAAGAAAACACTTTTCAGCCCATGCTTTATTTGAAAGGAAGTGCCATTTTGTCCCTGTTCAGAGTATTTGTGGTCTACATTTTTAAGAGCTTTCACCAATGGAGGTAACTTTAAGAAAACACTAATTCTACCCACTGTAACGAAGCCGATTAGAGTGAGTTATTAAATATATTATTCCCTTGCTTACAAAAGATTATCTGGTTCTATAGTATACTGTTTCAAGCTGGTCTGAGCTTTGTTTTTACACTGAAGCTCCTACCACCTGGATGTGATGCCAAAGTGACTAATCTGATCCCTTTCTGTGCTTATTCAACATTCATGATCTATGACCCTGTACTTCTGAGGTTTGGGGGTTAGAGAAGAAAGTTGCTTGTGGTGTGATTACTTTCTATGCATGTCCAGAACATCTGCCTTTGTGAAAATTATGTATAATGACTTTAGATACATGCATAGATGCCCAAACTTTACTTATTTGTTTAAAATAACAGTGGGGAAGCTAGGACAGTCAGACTTTGCTCCTAGCCTTTTTATCCGGTTTTATTACCTTTGCAGTGATTGAGTTATTCTACATTTGACTCATACCTGATGTAATTGAGCCACTTATGCAGTGATATCACATGTTCTGCATGTGCAGTACAGCGCATCGTACTCTCATCCTAGCATTGACCCTTTTTTCATTCTGGAGATGGAGTACCAACTCCAAATAACGCAACGCTAGGAAATTCGACTGTTTTACCTTGTGGGTTTCTTGCATTGGAGTTATTCGTGTAACTGATCCAAAAAGATAAATGGGTATAGTTGCTGATATAACCGAGCTTTAAAGCTTTAACATGAGAATTAAGCTTTCGGTACTAATTTTAAGGCAAAACATATTATTTCCTTACAATCAAATACTGTCGTTATGCGCCTTTTCTCTTGCAAATCTAGGGGGTGGAGTCTCTATGATGGCTAAAAAGACCTTTTAGTTTAGAAATTTGCTTTTGTGTATAATGGGACAAAAGCCACTGGTTGGTGATTAACTTGTTTAAGCAAATAAGAAAAACGGTGTGCATAAATTTGAAAAATGATTGTGATGTACACATTTGAGAGAGAATCTTAAATCTGCACTTTTTTCTCACTGAATATTTTTTTATATAAAAGAGTGGCAAAATTAAATGAGAGACCTGCATTAAACTGGTGGGGGTGGGTGGGTGGCGAAGAGGCAGTTTTGCTTCATCAGACCTGGTGCAGACTCTTGTCATTTGAAATGAATGGTAAAGCATTAAAATCTCTCATCAGGATTTATTAATATTTAAGTGTGGCATTTGTTACAGCCATAATCATGAAATCATTCAGGTGGGTTGGAGTGGTCCTTTAGCATGTTAAGAAATGAAAGTTTCTGATTAATTGTTTGATTATCTTATGTTATACATGACAAAATCAATTGAAACTGTTACTTGACTTTTCCCGTTTCCTTTTCATCTATGGTCACAGAGTTTTCTGTCAACTTGAAAGACCAACCAGTGCGCGCCAAGCCTGTGGGACCACAGGATGCTGCACCTGTGCATGTTGAAACTGTTCCTGTCTTCTCTGTGTCTTCCTTTTCTTCTGCTGATTCTATAACTGAATTAACAATATCCACAAAAGCAGTCCAAAATGATGATCTTACACAGACTGAAGCACTCGCAGACACAGTTTCACAAACAATCTCTGGTTTTATGGAAAGTACAATGGACAAACAAGTAGCAGATGGTTTAGAGAAAGTTCAAGATGTTATTGAAAAGATGGAAGTGAAGCCAGCATTTAGTGAATCGGTAAACCTCGAATCACTAATTTCTGTTGGTGAATATGAATCCGATAGGGAAGTAGAATCAAGTGGAAATGAATTTGAATGGACTGTATTGTCTGTGGCTAAAGAAAACGTACCAGAAAAAGCCAAATTGGATGAGGAAAGTCTGACAAAGATTAGTAAGATTGCAGGTGTAGATGATCAGTTGCAAGGTAATTGGGAAGTTGGTTTGGAAACAAATATGGGATTAACATCTTATGAGGAAGCATCAGGAACAGGTTTGGCCTTAGACAAAATTGTTGAGCAAAAGGAATTCATGCAGAATGTGTTAACAAATTTGAATGAGCAAATCTTAGAACCAGTTGACAGTGGTCTTAATTTTTGTTATGGAGACATTTTGGAAGTGAAGGGGCGGATGAATTTAATGCCTTCTAGTACAGAAATTGAGGTAACTATGATTGATACTGATGTTGCTAGTGAATCTACTTTTACTGTCTTTGGGAAGCCTGTTGAAACTGTTGAGGTTCAGGAGCAGGCCGATTCAGAGAAGCCATGTGATACTGAAAAACAAACTGGGGATCAGGATAGTGGGAAGCTAGGCTATGCGGACTTGGAGAGTGTCCCCTTCATTCAACAATCACTTGAATCAGATGGAAAAGAAAAGCCCTCTCTGGCTGATAAAGTTTATTTTGCGGTTTCAGTAAAAGGTGAACCTCAAACTGACATGACGTATGCTACATTTGACTCTTACAACGTGTTGGAACCTCCAAGGTCGGCTTATCTAACCACTAATAACCCAGTTCCTGAGGATAGTGGGACCATTAGAGAAAAGTCAGTATTGGAAGAAGCTTCAGCAGCACCACAACAATTGGCTACCATCAAGTCTGAAGTGGATAAGGAGATTAAACTTGCAGAAACTAAATCTAGTTCACCAATAGATAATGCAAGTAAATTAGTTTCAAAGATCGTCCCATCTGCTTCTGAAATGTATTCCCTTGATGGCTTAGCAGTCACTCAAGAACACACTGGGGAAACTGAGGCTCCAGGACAAACACTACAAGATCATGCATCAGATAATCTACAAACCAGCTCTGCGTTCAAGTTGCATCAATCAGCAATAGGAGTGGAAAAAACTGAAGAAGTTGATGTGGCACAAAAAAAAGAATCTCGAGATTCTCTTGATCCATTTAAAGCTTTATATTCTATGTCTGAATGGAGTATTGTAGGAGAGCCTGAAAAAATGCAGGGTTTAAAGGACACAAAGGCACCTTCTCATCTCGAGAGTGTTAATGTCACAGAATGTGCCACTACTCCTGAAGAACCGAGACATGGTCCAGTGCAAGCTGTCGCTCAAAGTACTAAGGAGGAACAAATTGTACATGCATTTCCAGAACAACTTGCGTTGTCAGGCAGACCTGCTCACAGCATTACAGGGGTGTCACCAGTACAGGATACATTTGAGGAGCTAGGCTCAGTTTCTGTCGGAGAAATTGGTGAAGGTACTGTAGTTGTGTCAGAACAGGTTCCTGTTTGTGAGGAAGGAGATTTTCCAGTACGTGTATCTGTTAGTTCCACTATAGTTCCAGAAGTTAAAGTTGAGAATTCTTTGCTGTTTGGCTACAGAGAGCCTGATTCCTATGAAAATATGAAACCACTTCCCCACTCCTTTGAACAAGTGTTGTTGACAAGTGAGTTTGTGGAAGATTTTACACTGATTGGTGTAAAACCTGAAGTGTCAGCTGACACTTTGGAGATGAAATGCCAATATGGAGCTGTGCCTAAGGAGATTATTAGCAAATCTGAGCCTGAACTGGTTTTGGGAACTGAGATGAGCAATGTACTTGAAGTCAAATCTGCTGAACAGCTTCTGCCTGATTACGAAGATATTGAGCAATTTGCGTTTTGCTCTTTATTGGCCCAAGAGCCAATTGAAATTCCAACATTGATTAAGGATCTAACTGAAGAAGTTCTGACTGGTCCGTTACATATTGAGGAGAAAGCTGCAACAGAAATTAAATCTGGTCATCAGCAAGCTTCTGGAGAAACGTCGTCTCGTCCAACTGAAACAGCAAAGTATACTGTTCAAGAAGCTATCTCAGCTCTAACTACAATTGAAAATATTGCTACACCATTAATTGCAGAGGCAGAGCCAACTGAGGATATTGTAAGTGTTGCTAAAGGACCTGCTTTAGAAGCAGTGTCTGAAGAATCTGATTTTGTATCTTCCCAGCCAATAGATTTGATGGGTACTCTGTCTTTACAGGGTGATACATTTACTGACAACTTTAAGGAAAAACAGGATAAAGTTAAAATTGATAGTACTTCTACACAACCAGTCGAGGAGAAAGTGGAGATTGATACATTTGCTGACAACTTTAAGGAAAAGCGGGATAAAGTTAAAATTGATAGTAGTTCTGCACGACCAATAGAGGAGAAAGTGGAGATTGAACAAGGGCATCTAAACACTCAAGAGGTGTCGCCTTCTGCTGTCATCAATGAAGAAGTAACCAAGGCTTCAAAAGAGGTGGTGACAAAAATCTTAGAAACTAGTGTTGCCCTAGCAGAAGTGTTAGGAAAGGAGGAAAGAGCCAGAACATCACCCATGGGTCAGCAAGAAGTTGATGTACTCCACGCAACTGCAGAAGAGGCCATCGTTAGTAAAAAATATGTTCCTCCCGAAACTGTAATGTCAGAATTGCCTCCTACTGCTGAGAGCAGTGAAGTATCTTCTGCTGATCCTGATATTGCTGATCGTTCAGTAAAGCTGAACAAAAAATCAGGTAACCATCTCTTGACCGACTTCACAAAAGCACCCTCACTTGTAGATAGTTTCATCACAGTGAAATTAATTAAACTCCTCCCGTCTTGTGTGCTTGCTTTTAATACTACCTTAACTGCATGATTGTGCTGAATGTTGCAATTGCTTTCTAGATGTCATGTTTGTCTAATGTTCATTCATCTTTTGTAAATAATATAAACAAAATTTGACATGTTTGCTTTTCAAAATTACTTTAACCCTTTTTAAGAAAGCTTTAGTGACTTATTCTGGTATGTCAAAGTTTACAAAATATTTATTATTTTTGCCATAGTTGCATGTGAGTTATGATTTAGATGTACTACTTTAAAACTACTTTTGCAGGATTATTATAGATTTATTATTTTAATACAGTTTTTCTCACAAGAGCGCTGAAGTTACTTCATCATAGTTGTCAGTTAAAATGACCAAAAATATAACAATCACAAGCCTTGAAGTCAAAAGCAACATTTTGTTCTAAATGTTTTTTTTGAGGACTAGGTGTCACTGTGGTTGAGTTTGGCAGTGTTCATTTCTGGACGCTACATTCTAATCCAGCCCACTATGTATCTGGTGCATATGTGCATATGTGCGAGCTAAAGGGCTTGTTGGGTGCAGCAAATAGAAATCGCTGTACCAATGGATTTCGCTTTGAGTTTACCATCGTGTGGAGGAATCAACTACCCCAATACCAGACTTAATTGTTTGATGTCTGTGACATGAGAACATATTCTTTTTCCCAGAATGATTTATCTTGATAGTGTATGAGCAAATCAGAATTTATTGTTCACGTGTTACCTGTAAAATTTATCTTCTCATTTTGTTCAGGTTGTCATTTTGGGGAGAAATGAATGCTAACTGGCTGAGATTCAGCCACTTGATGCATCTGTTGTTTAGAAAAGTCTTGTGTGTGGGGAAGGGAAGAGGTGGGAAAAAATTATCTGGCTAAAGTCTATAAAGAAATGGTTACTACTGTAGATAGCTCAGGACACAAACCTATATACCGGACAAAACCTAACCCAAACTGGTTGAAGAATGAAATTGTGAGGTAAGTTTCGAATCTTTCACAGCCACTGCACAACATTCTTTGGAGATGTTCCATTTCAGATTTGTCTCCTATTCAGTTTGTCAATATGACAGATACAAATATCTTTTGACACGAGATGTTGACATTTCAATTGATTTCCAAAACCACTTAATACAAATGACAAAAGAGTAACTGTCATTTTGACCACTTTCACAGTGCAAAAATATTAATGCTGCAAGACGGATATGTATTTACACACGCTTGTTTTGCATTTTCATGGAATGGAATGGGAGCAGAGAAGCTGAAAGCCCGACCGCTGATGGTGAGGCGGGCTGGGTGGGGGACATGGAGAAAGCCGATTTGTCACATTTGCCCACTTCAAGAGTTCACTTTTGGGTTAACATGCACACCCATCATCGTTACTGATGGTACACAATTACTCAAAACACATTTTTGAGGGTGAATGTTGAGGTCTCAGGCGTACTGATGTGATCCTGCTTTGCTGGCAAGGTCCTTTGCTTTTTCTGTAGCTGCCAGGGCTGTTTCTTTAGCTTTCTCAGTTGTCTCTCTCCCTCAAGGTTTTTGCAGGTGTTTCACCTTGCATTCTAGCTAGAACGTACTCAAACCCCTTCAAAGTATTGAAAATAAATTGTCCGTCAGTTTAATATACAATTTATCCTTCCTTTGAATGAGATGTTAAACCGAGGTCCTGTCTGTCTCTTCAGGTGGATATCAAAGATCGCATTCAAAAAAAAAAGAGAATTGAGTTCCTCCCGATGCCCTGGCCAACAAATCCCCCAAATAAGATTGGTCATTGAATTGGTCATTGTGTAAGGGACTTTGGGGTTCACATTAGGCTAAAATCGTTCTATGGTTTGCAAGTTGGTGGATTCATTAACTGGCTGACATGAGCTTTGTCGGCTAGTTCCCTTTGCCTCAGGGTAACGTTACCTCTTACTCCTTTAATAGACCTGGCTGCTGAGGACCAAGCCATTTAAGTGAGCAATGGCTTTACTCGTCTCAACATAGCTCAGTTATTGATCTTGTCCTACATTCTGCCAAGGAATTACTTGTACACTTGATCCGAAAGAGTTAGCTTAGGGATCTCACCCTTGAAAAGTGGGATCCCAAGCTAATTACTTTGGCTTCTGAACATTTGTCAGCACCTAAGAGGGGCCAGATGCTGGGACTCGAGTCATCACTGATATATACCTGTGAGCACCCTGCGGCCGATAGTCCAACATACCTCCATGATACTGCTGAGTGCTATTCACTGGAAAAGTACCGTTTTTCTATTTACCAGGAGGCATTTCTGTCAAAAACCAATCTGATATCAGCAGGACTGGATGTTATGAAAATGCACTCACAAACATGAGGGTCACCCTGTGCTGAGGTATGAGTGTACGGTATTAAGATGACTTGTGATGTAGTGCTTTTTGTTTTGGTCAACTGGGTGTCTGGCTCACAAGGAAACCCATCACCATGCTTGAGAGTATCCAAACCAAACTGAGATTTCCATGCATCCCACCTGCACATGGAAATCTCAGAGAAAGATTATTGTAATGGAATGTGCACTCTCCCTGGAGGGATGCATCCTGCTTCCTTAATTCCAGAAAGTATTAGGCGCAGGTTGGGAAGAGCCAAGGCTTGGAGACCCCAGAGTGTGCGTTGGGACTGCTCGAATGTAACCAGCTAAAACTGCAAAGCTTGCCATTGATATTACTTTCCTGCTGCTTGTCCAGCTAGGACCACACTACCCATTAGGGCATTGGCTTGCATGGTTAATAAGAGCTGAGTGGGATGACTCCCTGCCCAATGACTGGTCAGTCCTTCCAGGCCCTGTCGATGAGGCTGGCTGTGCTGTCATTAGTAGTACCCTGGAATATTGCGGACCTGCCTGGCTCAACAACCAGACTACCGAGACCGCCACAGAGGGCTGTCTCGATTCCGACATTCCATTGCCAGGCATTTCACCCTGGAGCCAGTTCAGCTCCAAGGAGGATACTCACTAATGTAGTGCTAATTGTTTTAACTTAATAGATATCTGCTGTATTGCAACATTTTCCCTTTTCCTTGAGCTGTTAAATATTCCAGAATATTTAGAAAAAATCAGAGGGTGCTGATTTGTGTATGTAGGTTTATACTGTCCACTTTTTGGAATGTGCATTATTTGTGGACGTGCAAGATTGTTAAACCCTGTTTTTAGTACTCTAATGACTCAAATATTTTCATCTTGAATACAGATCTGGTTTGCTGATTAGATAACTAGCTGGCTAAAATCTAAATTCCTATCTGTTTTTAAATTCCCTGAGGTTGTCTTCACTCCAGAATAGTTGAATGAGGGGCTTTTCCTTCATTTCTCCACTTTGTCTGAATGGAGGTGAGATTTACCCATGCTCGGTGAAATCACTCATCACATCTCAATTCGTTTGAGTTTGCAGCATCTCCATTTCTACAAACCCTTTTAAACCGCTAATGAGAGAAACATGAAAAGAAAGAAGGAAACGAAAGAAACTTAAGTTGTGCTCATTGGTGTACTTGTGTTCTGCCGGAGTCTGTGACCAGCTATTTGGTGAGTTTGGTGCCTCCAGAGACTTGTACTCCAGCATGAATCCATGGTGTTTTTCCTAATATTGGTTTATCCCTGTAGGAAATGCTCCACTTCTGAGTTCTCCTGGTATTCTGGCCAATAGTTCTTCCTCATTCAAACTCTCTCCCCACACCCCCGCCCCCCCACCAGCACCGCCCCCCTCCCAAATTAAAATGGGTCACCTCATTGCTGTTTGTAGGCTAGGCTGCCTCTTAACCAGCCTGCATATAGTATCAGAAAATACTCAAAATATAAATCAGGGTATGAAGATTTTTCAAATGTCTTGTATATAAACGCAAATATTTAGTTATTACATTTATGAGCAGGTTAAGAGGTTATAGTTTTTTTTTAAAAAATGCCTATTTTAGCCTTTACCTAATGTTCCCGACAATCTTGGTTGGTTGCCAATAATGCAGAGCCTGTTAGATGCAAGTCAGCATTTAAACTATATTAATCTTATCTGCACTTTTCCATCATTCCTATTTTAGAAAAAGTTTGTAATCAGACAGACTAATTGTGATTCTCTCTTGTAGAAATTTAGACTAGTTATTTAAAGTAAAAGGAATGTCTATATTTTAAACAGTACATCAGATCAAATGTACATTCACCTATAACCTATGAAAAATGTACCACTATCATAGTAATCTTGGTCCCTAAAGTAGCAGCGTTTATGTCTCTTATTTGGATTTTAGCCATTCATTAAAAGATTGGTTAAACAACATTTTCTTATCCCTTCACTGCAATCTCGTTCATCCATTTTATACCCTTCCACGGTATCTTGTTCTTCTATTCCTCTGCTCCTGTTTAAACACCTTATCTGTCAATAGCATCTTGCACACAACATAGCATTAAGATTTGTAAATTACTGAAACTTTAAAAGATCCATGAAAAGGGACAGCCTCCTATGAAGATTTTGTGATAATCTTGATATACAGCTCTGAGACATTTTAGGCAGGGTTTCACTAATGACAGAATGTGAATTAAGACATTGGAAAGACTAAGATTCAGCCCCATGGGACACGCTACGCAAAGGCCTTCCCGTTGCCGGTGCATTGTGATTCTTCCATCACCGTTTTTGGAAACCAGTTCCAGCTGTTTACTCCTAAAGAAATTGTTCCTGGTATCCTAAAATTTCCCGTAACCAAATCTAACCTTTTGGTTCTCCTGCCTTCTGACCTGGGCAATTTTGGCTCTTGTTGATGGTGCCAGATTAATGCATGGATGGAATAGTAAAAAAAAAAGCCCTGCCATATATCAAGCAAAGGAGTCTGGGACCCAACTCATGATAGCATCATTGTATAAAGGGAGATTATCCCTTAATATGATTTGCCAATTGATGTATTCAGTAACAATGAGGACCCCAATCCTC